ATTGATGGAACACTCATCAGGGGATCTCAGTAATGTTTTTTCTGAAATTGTATTAAGATACTTAGAAGAGGCAATATTTAAAAAATTACCGATGTAATGTCAATTATACCTTCTTTTTAATAATTTCTGAAACTAAAGTAAATTCTATATTGCATTAATTTAATAGTTTTAGTAACAATATAAATTTTACTATGCAGACTGAACAGAATTAATTTTCTTTTATTTTTCAATTAAATGAAATAAACAAAATGTTCTAATCAATAGGAACAAAATAGCAACAAAAATTGGACTCACTTTACACTTCAGATTGAGGTATCAAATAGAACAAAAAACTGGAATTGAGTACAATTTAGTTTACCATTAAAAGAAAACTAGGAATACGAAAGCTGAAGAAACAGCTACCATATCTAGCGTATAATAGTTTTTAATTTATTTGATAAGCTGATGGCATTGAAGATGGTTGGGGAGGTAATCTTCTGCTTGCAGGGGATTTTAATATATTGGAATTTTCTTTCATGGTTAAAATAAAACTCAATTAAGAAAACTAAAAAAGCACAATGCCACTCAGCTTAACTTACAATACAGTTACTTTTTCCAATCCTCAGGGCAACATTTATCATTTCTCTTTGAATTTATTTAACACTTATATTGTAAGATCTGTCAGAAAGATTAATGACAATTAGATGGGAAGGGGTCTATTTGAATTTTTTTTCTCTCTTTCTTTTCTTGTGTCTCTTTTTAAGATTAAAGAAAAAATTAAACTTCCACACAACCGAATATGTGGAAGCTTAGATCTGTCTGAAAACTAGTGGTGTTACAAAGCACATACTTTCTTACATTATTTATAACTTTTGCAATTTTCGAAAATTCAGACATTTCAAGAAAATGGGACGGGCGTAATTTTTTACCTTTGTTTACGCTATATACAGAAGAGCAACTGGTACAGCCATGCATATTGAAATAAACAGTTCTGGAACCAATCACAATACGGCGTTCCGGTCGGCAACGACTATATAAGACAATCAGAGTCTGGCACAGTTGTTAGAAGCGAAGCTTATTCCATAAGCGAAGCAAACTGTCCACGGCGAATGCCCTGCTTTTATATAAAACCATGATTAGGCCCATTATGGACTACGCCTGCCCAAGTTGGGGAATAGCGGCGCACGCACACTTAAATAAGTTGCAAATAGTTCAAAATGCGTGCCTTCGTAGAATACTGTGCGCGCCAATGTTCATTAGAAACGCAGATTTACACGCTGCAGCAAAACTACCGCTCATAGAAGAGCACTTTAAAAACTTAGCAAAAGTCTTTTATTCAAAACTAAATACGTCAAATAATGACATTATAATAAATTTATCTTTGTACGAGCCGGACCCCACGGCTACGTACAAGCGCCCGAGAGATATGCTACAATAGGCGAGACGCCAATACTTGCATGAGAATTGCGGTAAACAACGCCAAAAGCGCGCCGAACGGCTTTTGTCTTTCCTGACCATGTTCTTTTCTCTATTTTCAGATCAGCCATAGATGTCCGAAAGGATAGGAATGGCTCCACAGCAGGGAAGTGTGGCGGCATTGCACTACTGCGTCCACACGCCCCTGCGCTGCAAAGCACCTCGCACAGTTGTTAGATCGGTTACTGCTACTACAATGGCAGGTTATCACGATTTAAGGGAGTTTGAACGTGAGTCGACGCAAGAGAGATGGGGGCAAAACATCTCCGAAGTCGCGATGAAATTTGGATTTTCCCGTACCACCATTTCACGAGTGTACCGTGAATCCGGTAAAACATCAAACCTCCGGCATCGCTGCGGCCCCAAAAAGATCGTGCAAGGACGAGACGACGACTGAGGAGAATCATTACACATGACAAGTGCAACCCTTCCGCAAATTGCTGCAGATTTGAATGTTGAACCATCAAAAAGTGTCAGCTTGCGAACCATTCAACGAGACGTTATCGATATGGGATTTCGGCGCCGAAGGCACACTCGTTTAACCTTGATGAATGCATGACAGGACAGGATCTTCAGTCCTGTGTTTGGTACACTTGTCTCTAATGAGACTCTTCGTCCATCTTTTATTTCTCTGTCTGATGGTCTGCTGATTTGTTGCGACCCCTCTCCCCCGCACAGGGACGGGGATTGGGAGCCGGGGTAGGGAAGTGACGGGAAGTTTTTGTTAGGGGGTTTGGGGGTGGGGGAAAGGGAGAGGAATGGATTTAGGAGGGGAATGGGATAGGATATAGGAGGGATTGGGAATGCACGACAGAAAGCTGCACGCCTCGCCTGGGCCCGTCAACATCGACATTGGATTGTTTCGAGCAGATGGACGTGTACGAGTATGGCGACTACCTCATGAATCCATGTCCCTGCATATCAACAGGGGACTGTTCAACCTGGTGAAGGCTGTGATGGTATGGGGCGTGTGCAGTTTGAGTGATATGGGACCCCCTGATAAGTCTAGATACGGCTCTAACAGATGACACGTACGTAAGCATTCTGTCTGATCATCTGAGACCATTCATGTCGATTATGCATCTCAACGAACTTGGGCAATTCCAGCAGGGCAATGCGACAGCCCACACGCCCAGAATTGCAACAAAGTGGCTCCACGAACACAGTTCTGAATTTGAGCACTTCAACTGGCCATCAAAATCCCTAGACATTAACATTATTGAACGTATCTGGGATGCCTTGTAATGTGCTGTTCAGAAGAGATCTCCACACCCTCGTACTCTTACGAGTTTATGGACAGTCCTGGTGTCAATTACCTTCAGCACCATTTCAGACATTGGTCGAGTTCATTCCACGTCGTGTTGCGGTACTTCTGCGAGCTCGCGGGGGCCCTACACAATATTAGGCAGGTTTACCAGTTTCTTTTGGTTTTTCAGGGTATAAGGACAAAGTTCAATTTCAAAAATTGGAGTCATTTTGAAAAAAAATTTAATTGTTCAGGCTTTATGTACAATTCCTTCAAAAATCAAAATATCCATTTAAAATTCACAGGGCCTTTAATACCTTCTGATCGATGAGGGAGCATCAAATTTGAAGAAAATAATCTAAATGGTTTAGGCACTAGCAGTGACTACAGACTGACTGATGGACTGACTCGACTTTTAAGTATTAAGGGCCCAAAAAAGTGGATTACGACTACACAATACATTAGAGGAATAATCTATTACATATAGGAACCACATTTATCTACTTTTTCATTGCTAGGACTCAACGTAAAGAATTCTTCTGTCAAAGAATTACCAATTTTCATCTCAGCATTACGATTCTTTCACTTTACTACCTATAAGTAGAAAAGCGAGAAAATAACAACAAACACTTGCTTGGCAGGAATCTCAATCACACAGGTTTACGGGACAAGTTAACTCTCGACTCTATAAATTTGTTCGATGTTCCAAGTTTGTAATACTAAAACAAACCCTCAATGATGTGATGGTTCTATCACACTATCATCCACTATCCCAATATTTCCTCAAAAATTACTAATGATTTTAAATTTCTTTTATATGATATTTTACATTTCAGTTCATTTGAAACAATTTGAAGATTAAATTCTTAGGAAAAGATTGTATTAAAAAAAGAAAAATTCAACCTTAAGTAGTTGTAGCAGAAAGACAAAAATAAGTTTGAACTTTTGAATTTTCAAAATTGAATAGGTTGTAATGAAAACCTAACCAATGACATTTTGTTAAGAGAACTTGCCTTTTTCTACAGAAAAGAAAGAAAAATAAAGAGCTCTATATGAGAAAATCTTGTCCACGTACTTTTTTTAAAAATTGTCATGATTCCACTCAAATTTACACAAAACTTTTTTCAACCAATTGAACATGACATAAGTTAAAGATCTAATTTTGAAGCAAAGATTTTATTACGAGAAAAAGGGAGGTTGAAATCTGTTATTAATTTCCAATGCTCACAGAAACTGAAAGAAAACAATGCAGCCTTTGGCCATGGGCACTATGTCTATGGTTTCATTATATATCCAGGAACTCATGAAAAATCCTAAAACATTACAATTTTTGCCCATGTGTACAGAAAGAGAAGGAGAGGCTTCTGTCAATATGAGAAATGTCTCTGATTTAGTTAGTTCCTTAGGAAGGAAGGGAAAATTCAAAACCTGTTTAAATTAAAAATGCAAATATTTAAGTATATTACTCCACCTATTCTCATTCAGGGTGCACTGATTGTGTCACTGCTTAAGACACAGCTGAAGCCATGCAACAGCCAAGGCTCGAAGAAGTGACTGCTGACCATTGAATATTTACAATTCAGATGTTGCATTATGGAACAGCAACTTTTTTATTTTCTCAGTATGTAATTACCTGTTGTCCTGAGTATTCATATATACTACTGTATGTTATTTACTTGTTCTTGAACAGTAACGGTTTACCTCGGGAAAACCATTTTGTGTGGTTGTGTTCAGCAGCATTAATGCTTTTTGCTTATTATTAATTAGCTTTAATGCTAGTTTTTTGTTTGTTATTCATTATTATTATTATTATTATTATTATTATTATTATTATTATTATTATTATTATTATTATTATTTTACAAATTCTGAAATTTCAACAGTTTTACTGAAAACTGAATGTGAAGCATATGTGTACTTTGCTTTAAGCAAAAATTTGAGCCGTTTTTAAGTAAATTACAAAAATGCTTTCCAAAAATTGAAAAGATTCTTTTCAAATTTCAAGACGCTATGGTATTTGCTGTATTAATCAGAGAATATCCATTTTTGTGAAAATCAGAATCAAGAACTCATAAACATGTTTTTCTGCTTAAATATATCAACATTTTTTCAGCATTATAACTTTCTTCATTCAAATACGCAAGTAAAAATCATGCAAATGAGAATGATAAATAAAAACACAAAGACTGGTTGCTGATGTTTGGATTCAAGTAAAATTCTTGGATAAGAAACACAAACACTACAGAATAATTCATTAACATATAAGACATCATTTTCTCATTATTTAAACATTCCTTACCAAAGGCTCGTAGCTTCCCAGAATGGAAATCTTCTAACAAATGAAGCAGAGCTGTCTCCATTCGCCGCACATCTGTCACATCTGACAGAAAAGAGTGGTGTTGGCAGTTGCGTTGAGCTCTCACTTCAGAGGTGAAAAGGGATCAAAAAGAACAAAAGTAACATAAAGTAAAGTAAAGAAGGCAAAACAAACAAAATTAAACGCATTGTAAAAAGACACAACTCTGAAGTTTTATTATAAATTCCCTCATAATCCACAATGATAAACAATAAAATTTTGTTGCAGAAAAGGCAAATTTTCATTCAAGTGAAACGAATATCTTTGAGAAGTATGTTGTTCCCCATGCTTAAAACACATCAAATAAAAAAGTACAACACTTTTCCATACCATTCTATGAGACAGTGACATTTTCAATATCTTGCATACTGAAGGAACATGATTTTTCTGGAGGTTGAGCAGAATAAACACATAATTTCATATCTAATCCACATTATTAAATAAAAATTATTAATTCTGATCACTAATTCATCTACTGATCTAAATTGCACTTAGTACTGGTTTGAAAGTCAGCTAAATTTCAATCACAAATCTTTGGCCAATAAATATGTAGCAAAGTGAGAAAACATTACTACTAATTACTGATGTGAAATTGTCTCTGTCTCTTTTTTCACTTTATTTAGTCTTGTCTCCAAGAAATAATTTACTATAAATATCAAACTGCTTACATGCACATTGAAAACTAATTTGGAGGAAAAAACAGAAACAAAATTTAAGAGTTAAATTTTGTATCATTCTCGTTTTCCAATTTTGCTTTATTCATTATTTCGTAAGGAGAGGCAAGAAGCAATTGGCAAGATGTCTTTAGATACAATTTCTAAATAATGACAAAGGATTTGTAATGAAAGCAAGAATAATAGAATGAAGTTTCATCAACACCAAAACTGAAGCAAAATATTACAATGACATAATTAAATACGACATCCTAACTGCTGTTACTTGGGATTCTGAAACGATCCTTCACAATATTTTTAAAAAATGCATTGCCTCATCTTGAAACGTTAAAATAACATTAACTAAAAGCATTTCTTCATTGAAGAAAATTTCATCTATAATTTAATGTATACACTTTTTCTATCACAACACATCACATGCCCATAAGCAGTAGATGATTTCTGTAGAATAAATTTTACTAAAATTTTGTAAAAAAAAAAAATCAAAATACACAAGCATTCCCAATTAAAAGGCTGACACATAATTGAATGTACACATATTTAAAAACCCTCATTTCTATTGCCATACATTTTCACAAGATTTTTTTTTTTTTTTAAAAAGAAACAAAATTTTTTTCACTGATGCACACATATAGAAATAGAAATTAGAAAAGAATCAATATACAAAAACCAATCTCAAATTTCATATCAAAAGCTTCTTCCAACAAATTCTCAAAGATACATGTTTTACAGTAGTGTTCAATTTTCAACAATTAACAAAGACCTCATAGCAATTCTGCAAAATGCCTAATCTGGAGGTCGGATTCAGCAATAAATGTTCAATTGAAATTATGCTATTATCTGAAGGGAAAATAAATTTAAATGTTTCTTGTACTCATCACACGTCATGAGTAATCTCTTAAGAAATTTATTACACTGCTCAAACAAATGCATTTTAGCATTAAATATAAACTTCGAAACATTACTCACATAAAAGAAATATATTTTGTAAAACTACAGAGTTGACTAGGAAATAAATTCAGCTACTAAAATCAAAACCATATTTCAAGAAAACAAAGAATCAAATCAAAAATGATTTAAAGGTGTGATAAAAATAAAGGTTCATGAAACAAAATGAACGTTGATCTCATAATTTAAATAAGCTTTAAAACCAAGGAAATCAACAAGCTACACTATATCTAACATATATTTTGAAACCATGCAAATATTTTAGACACAGAGTATATTACCTTTTACATAACTGAGCAGCTGCAGAAAATAATTAAAATCAATTGAGAAGATAGAGAAAAAGATAATTACACTCAAAATCATGTCCACAGTCAACCACTGAGCTTCACATGCTCAATTCTACATTTCTCTAAGAACAGTGAAAACAACATCCAGAGATATTGAGAGACCGCTCGAGTGGACAATACCTATGTGTGACAGCTTCCTGGCAGCTGCAGTCTCTAAGCTGGCTCTGCCAGGCTGTTCCTCACCTCTCTTGGTGTTATGCAGCCGAGCTGCTGCAGGATTCAATCGCTGCCTTCCACTGCTCTCGGATATCAATGAAGGACCTCTGCTTAACTTTTCATTCACAAATAACAAACGGGTTTGTTGCTGCCCCCCAAGTGAACCTGTAATAACATACATTCACATGAAAAACTTACCCTAGTTGCAATGGAGAGAAGGAGAGAAAGAGGGGTAGAGAGAGAGAGAGAGAGAGAGAGCGTGAGAAAGATGGAGAAAAAAAGAAAGAAAAGAAAAAGTACAGCGTCCAAGAGGCAAATTCAGGCCATTGGAAACCCGGTAGAATCAACCTCAATGAAATGGTTGATACATGAATTAAATGCACAAATATTGGGGTTTTATTGATGATTTGTATTAGAAGCAGCTTTTTAGGTGAAAAGAATAAAACTTTGTGCTTATAATTCCATATGAACCAATGCAACTACAGTGCATTCAATGCCCTGGTACAGTCATGTCTAACTAAGTTACAAAGTAATATAAAACTTGGTATTAAAAATTAATTTTTCTCAAACATTTATGTTCTTAAAAATACACTTATGCTCTTGCAGCTCAATGGCGAAGTTGCTTGCCTTTCACCACTGAGATTCCGGGTTTGATTCCCATAGAATCCCCATAGAACATGTGAAATTTGTTACAACAAAATGAACTAGTCCAACCCGTGTGAAGTGTCCTAAACCCTACCCAATCCTAATGCCCTCTCAATTCTGGCTGCTGGGTAGACGCCGGGGCGCATAGTAGGAGGCGCTTTCGCAGAGATGCTACTTGATGGTTCTCTTGACAACCGACTGCGACAAGACGTGACAAATATGACGTTGAAATATTAATGGAGGATTACTCCCGCACTGATATTAATGGAAAATTATTCCGAAAATGCAAAGCGTCCCCCTGCACTTACAGACATATTGTGTCAACTGAAGACGCAAAAAATTTAATTAAAAAAAAAAAAAAACAATACAAAGGAAAATGTATCATCAAGAAAAATATCAGCTAGTTTTTCAGGCTGATGCTTCTAGCATACACTGTAAGTTCACAAAGTTCAATTCTGTATGAAAATAGTTTAAAATACCATAAGCACACACCAACGAAAACACAATTTCTATGAACAACAATTATCAGGTGTGAGAAATGGATATCTCTGGCATCTCATTGTAACGATGTAATTTTGCAAAAAAATTTGACAGCTCCATTGCAACAAATAAAACAGTGACTAACTTCCTTGTGGCGTGTTGAGGTTTGAAGAACTCATTGCTGGAGCAGTAGCAGTGCGATTCAGCCTCAGTGATCCTTGACTGTGGATACCTTTAGAGCTATTTGCACCAGATGAAACCTGCAGCATGCACAGACAATCAGATATCAAGTTTTACATGACTAATAAACAATAGTATAAATCAAGCTAACATTTATGCACAGGGAAAAACCAAACCTGCATTCCGTCATGCCAGGATCAAATAATTTGCAACTTACTTTGTAACTTAAGGGTGAAGAAGGGGAGGTATGAGTTACTTTGCTAATTCCTGGCGTGATAGGAGGCGTAACCTCTCCAGACTTGCTAGCAAGTCGAGGATCATCATCAGGTGGAACCAACTGCTGAAGTTCACATTCTTCACCACCTTCTGCCATTGTAGCTATCATCTATAATTTAGTTTTTCTCATTAAACAATATAATTTTGTACACTATAATGTACATTCAATATTTCCATGAGGCATGGAATTACATTTTTGCTGTCAACAACCGACAAAGAAAATTGAACAATCACAAGCCAAAAGATTTTAATTTACGCTGCTCTTAAGTCAACTAGGGCATGTTTCTTTTACTATTTTAAAAAGACTGAAACGACATTTAGTACATAACACCAAGGCACAAAAAATTATAGTAAAATATTTCATTCGTTAATCCACATAAAACTAAACAACACATTCATGAACTTTTGTCCACAGAACAACACAATCTATTCATCCATGTTTTGTCATTCGATTAGCTTATCGGGGGTGAGTGTAGAGGAATGAAAAACGCGCTTAACGCGCGTATTTTGTCAATCAATTTCGTTGATATTTGTTCTCTGAACGTCCCTTCCCAAAGAAAGTAGAGTTCGTTCATGTTTACTCCGGGATGAGATTGCCGGAAAGTTTCGTGTTGTGGTCGTCTGTTGTATATTGGACGTTCACATTGAATCGTGCAAATAGTGAATAGGCGTTGTGTCAAACTGAGTCGTAATGGTTAGTTATTAAAACCTCTAATTGTTTTCGGAAAAAGTCTTGTTTTGTCTCTTTCACCAATTGATGGATAAGAAAAGGATAATTGCGGATTGCTTGCTTGAAAATTGTATGGATGTGATGACTAGATGAAATTGAAAGAGATCGTAACCTTAATTGTTGGAAACTAATGTAGTTTTGTTGTTTTACATTAAAATATTATTACATTATGAGTTTTTATTAGAGTATTTTGTTTAATATTTATTTAAGTAAGGTAATATTTTGAAATGTCACATTATTGTATTGTCATTTTACATTTTAATATTTTTGATTTCAGTTTCGTAATCAGTACGATAGTGATGTGACGGTATGGAGCCCGCAGGGCCGACTTCATCAGGTTGAGTATGCGATGGAAGCAGTGAAGTTGGGGTCGGCTACTGTAGGTCTTAAGAATAAGACTCACGCTGTTCTAATTGCTTTGAAGAGAGCAGCGTCTGAACTTTCAGCTCATCAGAAAAAAATTATTCCTATTGACACTCATATCGGTGTGTCCATTGCAGGTTTGACAGCAGATGCAAGGATATTAAGGTAAATTAAAATTGGTACTTTTGTAGTTTTAGTATAATATTCCCTTGGGTAATATTGCTGTTTTTCTTCCTTCAGCCGTTATATGAAAACAGAGTGTCTAAACTACAAATATTCCCACGATGCCTTGTTACCAGTGAGCCGATTAATTGCTACCTTAGGAAACAAGATGCAAGTTTGCACTCAGAGATATGATAGGAGGCCATATGGTGTTGGACTGTTGGTTGCTGGTTATGATGTAAGTTTGAACAGTGTTATGACATATGACTGATGTACAGAACACATTCTTTAGACTTGATGGTATTTATTCCAGGATCAAGGCCCTCATATATATCAAACCTGTCCATCTGCAAATTTCTTTGATTGCAAAGCAATGGCAATTGGAGCTCGCTCTCAGAGTGCTCGTACATATTTAGAGAAACATTTAGATGAGTTTCCAAATAGTGAAACTGATGAATTAATAAAGCATGGTCTTCGAGCTCTTCGGGATACTCTACCAAATGAGGTAGAGTTGAATACAAAGGTAATGAAATTTGCCTATTGTTCTAAATAGTTGTCTGCATTAATTCATAAATCTATGTAGCATATTCCTTGTAGAGATGTGTATTACAGTTTCAAAATTGTGAGTTTTCGTCCACATAATTGTATTATTTGTATAGCGTTTATAAATCCTTCATTTTGTTCAAAAATTGGTTTTAAATGAATCTTGAAGGAATGGCGCGTGATGTACATGCACAAGTTTTAAATATACGTTTTATACAAAAAACATATTCAGAGGTCTGTAAAATCAGTGTTTATTCTTAATATTTGGTAATCAGTAATATAGTGGTAGTCAGAAAACTTAGAAGTAATGAAGTAATGTTAATGATTCTGTAATCCTAATTAGACTTTCTTTTAGAGGCAAAAAGCACTTTGAAATATTTGCAAAATACCAGCAATGCTAATGGAAAAACATTGGAAGTGATTGAATCCTTTTAGTACTTGTAGATAAACTGTTCATACAATAAAAAGATCATTGCCAGTCTTCATAATATCAGCAAGGTATGAAAATTGGTAATACTGCATATAAATTTAATTTTCATGTTTTTCAGAATGTATCCATTTCATTAGTTGGCAAAGGAACTCTCTTTTCGGTGTTTGATGAAGACACTTTGGCCCGGTATCTTGCTATGATTGAAGGAGAGGAGAAGAGAAGTTCTCAACCTGAAAGTGGTGGTGATGCTGCTCCTTTGCAACCCCCAGAAGAAGATAGTGGACCGCAGGATCCTCAGCCTGCTACGGCTATGGAAACTGAATGAACTCTGAAATTTAATATTTCGCTGTTTTCTTTTTATAATGATTCATGTTTGAATGGTGTGACAGTGAAAACTCAACATTCATGTAACATGCTAAGTTTTTGGAAGATCCTTCAATAAAGATGGAAGTGAGGCTTGACAAATAAATTTTATTTGAAAACATATATCATAATTCTCTCTAAACAATAAGATCTTAATTTCAAACACATATAAACACTTACACACTATTTACAATACAGCTGAAGTAACCAATATGTCACATAAAATACATTTTCACTGGTTATTAGGCATGTTCAGCAATGCTTTGTACTCCCTCAGGAAACTTTCTTCGTGTACCAGAGTCAAATCTAAGTGATCTTCCTCATTTGTGGCCATGCCTTTTGTAAGGTTTTCAAATGCTTGTTGTTTTTCTTCCATTCCATCATCACGTGCAGAATTATCAGTGTCGGTGTCACTGTCCTCATCACTTCCTATGAGCAAAAATTATGTTTGTAGCAAATCAAATAAGTTGTTAAATGTTAATAAAACCTGGCCCATTTTTTCTGAGGAAATACAAAACAGTAATTTAAATATGTTAAATCAGTTTCACATTTCCCCCTTTAATACTTAAAAGGAAGCATCGAGGGTTGTGAAATGCAGATTTGAGGTATTCTTTCATGCCAAGTTAAATAACGCAAATCTGTAAAGGTAGGTACTATCAGCCTTTATCAAATCTTAGCTGTAGCAATTTTTAGCTTGTTTTTATCTTAATTGCTTTGTATTACTAGTTTTTTATGACAAATCTATAGAAAATAAATTATTATTTGTGAAACTTTCAAGGCGCATGTAGCAAATTCAAAAAATACTGCAGTCAGAGTTTCAATAGAAGTTTCCTAGAGTCAAGATGCTCAGATGCTTTGTAAGAGAATTTTTACATGGCCATTTTGCCCTAAAATTACACACATGAACCCTGGAAAAAGGTCGTCATATTAGGTTCTGTTTGATTCTGCATTCCAATCCTGGATATTCCTGTCAGAAAGTAACAGAGCATTGATACTTTTACAAATTAGAACATCCTGTGGTCCTTAGCATAAATATAAAAATAGGTAATATTAATGAAAATGTAGAATTGGGTATTGTTATTCATAAGACTTCGTCCTGATATCGTTCAACTTACTGAAATATTTTGTTCAAAAAATCATTGTAGACACAAAGATTTAATGAAAAGCAGTTGAGTAACTTCATGGTGGCATATTTAAAATATGAAAAATTTCGGTCTGCTAATCTATGTCCTGTAAAAATTCTGATACATTTCCATTAGAAGTAATTTAAATGTGTCTCGAAGTAGTTTACTAAGCTCAGTTATTAATAATGCACTTCACCCATAGTTAAATACATACTTCAACTAAATCATCACCCTTAAAACCTAATAAATTTAATACAAGTCAATATAAACACATAAGAATTCTTATCTTATCTAATAAGGTGACTACTATAACCTCAATTTGCAAAACTTGCAACAGTTCAACTTTTTTCCATGTGTTGGGATTGTTGTTATGCAAACTCAGTTGATTGGTTGCATTAAATGCTTAAGTCTTTGAGTTCGAATCCCAGTGTGAGCAAACATATTTGCAAGTTTAATTAATATTATAATACTAAGTAACCATTACAAACAATGCCAAAACGTTTGTGCTGATGTAGCACCACTAGATAAATCTGCAATTTACCTTGTGTACGCGTGTTAAAAAGAGAAATATAAACCACCTGAAAGCTTGGAGAACAGCAAAGAGAAAACATAAGTTTGAAAGACAAAAGTGATAAAGAAACTAATTATTACAAAATTGAAAATTCAAGTTTTGAAGTCTCAAATTTTTTGCAACTTGAAGATGTCAGCGATTCTAATAAAAAACTAAATGATTATGAGTACTAAATTACTTTATTATGAGTACTAAATTAATTGTCAATGAATACAAAAATTCATTTTACGGGTCAGGAAAGTTGTTCCCACTATTTACATTTAAAATTAAAACTTCAACGCAACTAGCAGGAATGCATTGCATTCCTAAACTTTCCCTTTTCTCAGTATTCTTATGAAATACACAATTTCTTTATTGTAAATGCATACTAAATGTGCTGATTTTCACTACCAGAAAGTAGGCTGAATATTTTGCCATTCCATGTTCGCCCATGTGATTAGAAGAGATGGTAACGAACTAAAATTTTAGTTAAGTTTTTCTTTCTGTCTGTAGATGTAAAACTTTCATAAGGTTATATTTGGCATTTATTTTATAGACAGAAATATTCAACTTTTGGATAGAAAATTTGCATAGAGTTAAAAATAATAAAATATACCAATTTATTAAAATGTATAATATATAGTTTACTTTTGAAATAGCATTACAGAAATAATTATTTCTATCTTCACACTGCAATTAAAATGAGAAAAACAATAAATAACATTTTGCAAAGTGGAGAGAGAGAAAAAAATCAGAATATTTTGAAAATATCAATGTTCATCTTATAAATGATGTTAGCCACGTTTTGGGGTATAAAACTATGTGCATCTCCTCACCATCTGTTCTAATTTTATCCATCTTTGGAACAGGACTAATAAACCTTTATCTTGATATGTACAAAGTTATAGTTAAAAAGATCACAAATTTTATGACAGAAAATTCAAGATGGTATTGTAAAAGGGATTCTAATATGTTTCTTCCCTAGTTATAGTATCAGGAGAAAACTTAAAAAGGTGTTATGTACCAAAATTTGACAATATATTATTGATAGTTCAAAAACAATAATGGGTAAAAAACAATTGCATGTCATTGGGGTTAACCTCAATTCTCTATGTTAAAATTTCATTGTTTGAATTTAGTATCAATGTTAATATCCAATATTGTTTCAGAAAACCAAGCACTCTGCTCACCAATTGGGCACATTGCTCCTTTCTGAAACTTCCAAATATTAGCAATCAGTATCATACTGCAAAAGATAATACCAAAATTCACCATATGTTTAAGAAAACTAACATTCTAACTAGGAGATGTTCAACTTATAAGTATATTTGAACAAATACAAAACAGGGTGGAGCTTAAAAATTGTAAAGACTGTTTTCTATTTTTAAAGAGAAAAATGTTATTTTTATTTGTTTTTATTTAAATGCCTTTTAGTCCTAAAAACAAGAACTCTACAAGACCCCATTTCCAAATTAAGTTTATTCCAGGTGTGTTGTCTAGTCTATCCGGGACGAGCCGCGTCACTGACATGGAGGCTAATGTTTCAGCCAGCGTATTGTAGCCTTCTTCAGAGTGTACTGCTGAACAGTCAGCAGTACACTCTGAAGAATGCCACAATACGCTGGCCGAAACGTTACCCACCATGTCAGTGCTGCGGCTCGCGCCAGATAGACTAGACAACACAAACTCCGGCCACAGAAACCTACGCAACCTTATTCCAGGTGTGTCCACACTGGATCTCCTTTTCTTTTTTTTGTAGAGGTCCTGAAGATTTTTTCTTTTTTCAATGTTTTACAAATACAAATTCATAGATATTACCTGAATTGGATGATTCCCCAATCTGCCTAAGAAGAAGTTCTGCAGCTCTTTCAACATCTCCATTACAGTTGCGTAGAGCCTTCTTGGCCTTTTTTCTACTAAATCCAAGTGCTACTACCTGCATTTGGAAAAAGTCATAAGTATTCAATATTCTTAAAATAAATGGAACAATAATATTCTTCATACACTACAAATGAAAGGAGAACCAACAGACATTGAGCAAATAACTATTACCATAGGTGTATTCTTAAAAAATAAAAATTTCAGCTTTTCAGCAATGCAACATACAAATAAAAAACCGTCATATATAATTTTATAACACATAAAAATAAAATGTGAATTTACCAATTTTACTACCTTTAATTAAAATAAAATTATGATATCTATATATGAAAGTTAGCAATTATTGTCAGTCTACTCTGAAAGAATGTATTCAAGATTCATGTTTTCTGGCTATCTCTCCCAATGAAATAATTATATGTGGCATCATTGCCAACAATATTAAATATAATAAATATTATATATAACAATATTATATATAGTATTGTTGGCAATGACGACGCATATAATTATTTCATTGGAAATGCCAACGATAACTTACCAAAATACCTATATATCTCTTAAACAAGGGTTTGGTTTTCAACAGAATGAACAACAAAAAACTTTTAAAGTTGTTTAAATCAATTCCTACTGAAGTATTAATCAAATGAAACTGAATATATATGAAAAGGTTTTACTCACTGACTGGAATGTCTCAAACAACACCAACCATATTTGAATGGTTAGTTAGATTTATATTAAATTTGATGATTCCAGTAAAGAAACTAGTACTGCTAGTAACACGTCAATGAATAATACAAATATTTTAGATTCATGAATATATTCTATGAACTCTTATACACATTGTTCATTTATTTCAATTGAAGCACACAGTAAAAAAGTGGTATGAGATTCAGAATTTAAACTAGTGGTGCTAAAACAGTACATACTTGCTCACCTTTAGTAATAGTTATGTAATACTATTTGTATCACAATTTCTCTACGAATTAACACATCTCAGTCAACGTTTTTTGTAAAAGTCCTTACATATCCTAGATCATATGGTGTAAAAACTAAATATTTTTAAGCAAATATCAACACAAATTTGACAATTGTAACTGTTTTTCATAAGATGTAATTCACAGAAATTAGCTCCTGGGTCAATGTAGCATTCCAACCTGATATTCCCTGATGGCTAGCAATTTGTATTTCATATATTTCAATAGCTTTTAAATAATTTCTAAAAGATTAATTTGTAAATGTATAACAAAAGCACAAATGTAAGAAACAAACAAAGAAACAGGAAATAATTCACGAATTCTAACTTACAAAACATCAAACTGCCTGGAATTACGTTCACAAAGTGCAGTATAGCGAGCGAATATGTTTGTCGGCAAACTACACAAAAATACTCAATTAAAAAAAAAAAAAAAAATTAAATAGGACATTATTTGAAGTTCTGTTTTCGATGAACATGTTTCATTAAGAAAAAAATTGCATCTTCACAATTGTAGTTGTGGGAAGACACCAAAAAATGTTTAATTTTTTAAATTTTCAAAGAATTAGGCATTTTAACGAACATGAAACCTGAACCATTCTTTTAAGAGTCCTTTTCCCTTTCTAAGATCTTATCTTAATCAAACAATTTTGTGCTGTTTTAGAGAGAAAATGGTTTACAGAAAATAAAAATTGCAAAATACAATTTAAAATTTATGATTTCAAATTGACATTCTGAAATGTGATACCCAAGAGAGTATTTGCATCAACAATCATATATCACAATCCCAGTAAACATTACTCCTATATCAGAGATATTTGTCGATCCTACGCCATCCTACTACAACATTTCTTAGATTTCTGTATTTTCCTAAAATTAGTCTTTATAAAATATAATACGTTTGCTGAAACCAGTAAAAAATTAAAGCTTTAATAAAATTCTTTAATTAAAGCTTATATAAAATAAATAAAAACAAACACTTTACAAATGAAGAGCAATGATATTGCATTAAAGATATTACAACTAGATTTCAAAATCACCTTATTGATAGTATCTCTGTTAAAATCTTGTTGGCACAAGAGATCTGGTTGTTCTTGAATTAACTGTACACTCATCTGTACATCATTATTAGTATGTTGTAGAGCTCTCTGGGCCAGAAATGGTGTAAAGCCCATTGATAACAGCAACTGGTACAACTGTGGTTCCACCCATTGGCGACCATCTGCACAACGTCCCAGTTTTCTCCGCTCTCTGGCACAAACATATTACTCAGATTCACCCAACTTCACAGAACTTCACTGAAGAGTACTCACAGAGCTGCATTTGCTCTATAAGACAAATACCTATTCTGTTTACGTTCAGCTTCTTCTTTCTTCCTCAGTTGCTCACGTTCTTCACGACGTCGAGTTATTAATTCCACTGCTCCACCTATATTTCCATGAGCAGCACGAAGACCAAGTCGTGCTTCAGATGCAGTGTAACCTGAAACAATTAACAATTAATGCAGTATATATTTTGTTCACTTAAGCAAAAAACACATCTTGTAATAATTAGAAGCGTATTTTACATGAGTATACTTTATCCCGGAGTATATTTCACACAAAGATAATCTGTAGCTCAATTTTTCCTTAAAAATTAACAAATATGCTACATACTGTGATATTACGAGATTTGTAATTAAAATATTTCTAAAGGCTTCATCCTATATATTGGATAAATAGGATATTAGGATAATTTAATAAATCTTTACTTTTTCTTTTTCACAAATCTCTTTTTTAAAACATCTATATTCATTATTATACAGTAAAATTTGTCTAAACCAGAACCTGTACAAGCCAGAAACCTGCCTTAAACAGAAAAGTTCTGCGGCCCATGACGTTAAAACACAGCATCATAGGGAACCACTCAAACATGGAAAGGGAACGGTTTTTCATGTCCTTTAGGGAAAAAAATCTTTATAAAACGGAATTCCTGTGAATTTAATGCAATTGGCAGAGAGAGGCGAGACGTTCTTAATGAAAAAAATGCATCTGCAAGCTTGTTTTAAATTTCCTATTCTTGTGACACACGACTTAGTTGTAGCAGCCAGGCATTGAAAGAGAGGGGCTTCAGCCATCAGCGTAGAAATCAACCTTGGGGTCACTTGTCTCTGAAGTCATAGTTCATTGGGGAATTCCACTTTTTCCCCACTCTGTGAGTGTGGGTAGGTGTACAGGCCTGGCCGGCGTGGCTTCTATTTTTCCTGTCCTGAATTGAAAATTCCAACTTGCCGATGAGATACGCATTGCTCAAGGACATAGGAGGGTATCAGTAAATCATAGTATTGGGTTGTGTTGCATTATGGGTTGAAAGAGTCAGCAAGTAGTTTGAACCCAGGCAGTAAGGTGTGTGTGTTTTTTAATCAAGAGCTGTCAATGAAGAGTATTTAATGTGTGTTCATTTATTGGTGATATCTTCCATACACAAGTTATATGTTAATGTATTTGGTAATTAATATAAAGTCGTGTAATTTACTACTTTCAGAACAGAAACATCAATATCACATGGAGCAAGAGGCATAACAAGAATAACCTTACATAAAACAGAAACCTCCCTAAAGCAGAATGTTTTTGTGTCTCGATTGATTCGAGCTAAGACAGATTTTACTGTATATAAAGGAGTCACAGGTTGGTTAAAAACATTAGTTATATTTTCCAAAATCACAATACTGAATTGTGATCATTTTATACTATGTTTGTTTTATTCCATTTTACTGGCACAAACTTTTTTAAATAGAAATATATTCTTTATAATTAAATCTCTTAAAGGCAACAAGACACAGTGTAGACCTAGGTATTTGTACACCTTATTCACAAGACATACAAATTGAATGGGGATCATTTACTTAGGAGCAACCCATGAAACATTATTATTTCAATTTTTAGTTTCTTACAAAGAATCTCTAAACATAAATTAACATTCAAGTCCTTTACTTTGTTTGTGTGTGTTTTTTCTTACTTCTTTAAAAAACCAAAATCAGTTCGAACTGTATGTGATTTATGATAGAGCAATCTGCACACATTTCTTGTGCTCCAGTACCCCTTTCTTCTACTGAATGTTTAATTGAATTATGAGTAACAGTATTAACACTCTAATGCTATCCTTGTATCTGTGTATTAATTCCTCAACTGTCAGTGTGGCTGTGGGTTGGGGTATGCTCTCTCCACCATCTTACACTTATTTTTGTGATTTTTTTCTAATTATTATCGTTCTAGATGGTTCTCACCCATTAGTTACAAACAATGTTCTCTCCAAAAATAATGGCACATGAATCTCACACAGAAAATGACAGCATTTATGTATTTTTTGGCATCTTAAAAACAATGTTTTGTCTTGAATTGCCCAAATGATGTAGCAAGAGTCCAACAAATGTTATTTAATGACACGGATGAGGATGTTGAGAAGAGGAAGACTGATAAAGACTTCAAGTCTTGTAGGCAATGTTAATACCTGTAGCATTTCTTGTACTGCTTATACTGATGAGTGTGACAGGAAATGCAGAGAATGGAAAATACTGTGACTAATTTTTTCTTTAGAATTTTTTATTTAGATTATTTTTTATTTAGACTTTTACTATTCCAACAAATGAGTAAAACAAATGAATAACTATTTCTTAGAATCTAACAAATGTCTACGTAATAGTTTTTAAGATTTTACAAGCGATTTTGTATTTTTATGATATTAAAAAGATAAAAGCAAGTTTACCTCTAGTTATTTACAACATTCTCCAAAAAGTCAATGTAAAAATTGGAAATATTGTGGAATTTTGATCATGTATCTCGCAGATACAAGGCAAACAATAACTCAAGTTTTTTGATGATAGTAATAATGAGTTTTTTATAGAGAACACTTCAAAAAAAAGGAATGATGAGAACTCCTAAGAATTAGAAATTATTTCCATCTGCAAATAAGGGACAGATAAGTATTACTGAGAAATAACAACCATTCCTTGCATAACAAATTAAGAAAATGTGCACAGACAGTTAAACTACATTTGCAGTTCAGAAGTAAAGCACAG